ATTTATTTTAATACTATTACATTAAAATAATTTTAAAATATAAAAAATTAATTTTAAACAAAATAAATTAAATTTTAAAAAATCTCTATTTGAATTGTACTTTGAAAATCACAAAATATTTAAGTTTCAAAGATATTAAAAAGTTGTTCGGGAATGTAGTGCAAATCGTATTCTAAAAAATTTAAAAAAATTTTGTTAAAAATAAATTGTTTTTGTATATTTTATATCGTTTTGATGCACTAATCTTAAAAATAATTTTTAAAAATAAAAAAATTATTTTAATATATTTTAATATAAAAAATACTTTAAAAAATAACTATAATTATATTTAAATAGGCTTTTAAACCAACTCAAGCAAGAGATATCAATCGTGATTGAAATTATTAGAGTGGAAGCTATAAAGGAGATTTTAGAAGGTTATCATATTCCATTATTATACAAATAGAAGGTAGTAAAAAGGATCGATACTAATTTCATGATGTTGAAAGAGGGAAAGAACATTACACATCAAAGGAAGAAGAGAGTTGAAGAGTAGTAAACATTATTTATCAAGAAAAAAAAGGGTTATGAATTAGAGCTCTTTGTCAAGCAAATCCATGATGATATAAATGTGGATTGAGTATCTTTACCATTCAATGATGTTTATTATAATGATGAAAGTGACAAGGAGAAGAATGATAATATATAGTAACAACAATGCAATATATACAATATAAAGATTGCATTGTTGTAGTTGCTTCAAAAAAGGAATTATTTAACTTATTATATGCTCATAAAAGTTCAAAAATAAGCTTCTATAGATATTATAAATTGGTTGATAATACCATAACCCATATAAACTAAGAAAAGGAAGGAAAAGGCCTAAAGCCTTTTAGGTTATATAGCTGAACTTTTACTTATTTTTCAAAGGGTGAGCCACATGTATAAAATAAAAGGGAGATAGAACTATAATAGCTTTTATATAATTTGGTTTTTTGCTTTTAATATTTTATTTATATAATATTTATTGTAGTAGTTTGAATGGTTAATTTTAGTTAATTTTCAAGGTAAAGATTTATTTTATTTCGAGTTTGCTGTATATTTAAAGAGCTAATTTTTAAAAGATTTTTTTTCTAGCTATACAGTGCAGATAACTAGCCCTTTTACTATTAAACTATCTTTAGCTATTTTTTTTTTTCCTTGCCCAGCACATGTACTAGAATATCTTGGCACCATATGGACAATTTAATTCTTGAGCATCAAGATAAATCTTGGGATCTTAAAAGGTAAAAAATTAAAAGTTTAATTTTTTATTAGTTGAATTTTAAAAAATAATTAATATACAAAAAGATTAATCGAGATTAACTTGTCAAATTTATAATTTAAATAATAAAATTATAATAATTTTATATAAAAAAAATTAAAAATAATAATTTTAAAACTGATTCTTCAACCAGTTTAATGTTAAAGAATAATTTTTTTTTAAAAAAATAATTTTAAAAAAAATCTACAAAAACTCTAGATAACTTGAACTAACTTTCCAAACCAGTAACCCAGTAACAAGGCTAGGATCATTTTATAAAAAATAAATTTAAAAAAATCACAAAACTTAATATTAAATCAACATAATATATATAAAATTAAAAAATTAAAAAATTAATTATAAAAAAGTTAAAATTAAATAATAATTTAAAAAATAAAAATAAAAATAAAATTTAAGATGAAAATAAAATATTTGACACCATGCTATTTAACAGAGAATTAGCATGAAAACTAAGAAGATGAGAGAGAGAAAATATCTTTATACTATGTACATAACACCACAATAAAAGGGTTATCGAGGAAGTCACACACATTGCTAAAACACGATGACTATTTTCACTAAATAACACGAGTAATGTATGCACCATTCTCTTTGCCGCTACTTGTTACCCAATTTTTATAATTATTTTAAGTTTTAAGTTTAGTTTTTTAAATCTTAATTGTTTCAAATTCATAAAATTAAACTTTAATTTACAAAATGAAGCACCGACCGTGGCTTATAATTTTTTTCTTAACGTTGAGTGATCTCTATATTTAAACAGTTGGCAAAAAAAATTCAACTGCAATCATGAATAGACTCAATGTGAAATGATCAACTGAAAAATAATATAACAAAAATTGAGTGGTTTTGGTTAGGAATTTGTTTTATAAATAGACGGGAGCGTGGGTGTTGTAGAGGAACTGTTTGATGAAATGCTTGAAAGAGATGTGAATAGTATTTTTTAATCTTATAATAATTTAGTAATTTTATAATTTTAACAAAGCAACTACTCTTTAGTTATTACATAGAATATAATAACAAATTTGTAAATAATTTAATTTTTTATTGATTTTTTTTCAAATTTGTAAATAATTTAATTTTTTATTTTTTTTCATCACCATTTAAAATATTATGTACATATAAAGTTAAAGGATGATATCTGTAATTTTTTAAACAATAAAAGTAAGGTATAAAACTGAGTGAAATAATTTATCATAATTATAATTGTAATATAAAGTCTCATGTCGAGCCGGGAGCCTAACCTTTATGCTTCTGACTCCAGGACCACTCAGATACAACAAAATATGTTTCTAATACCTGGTCTCCTAGAACATTCTTCCAGTGGCTAGTGGCTAGCTACCATGGCAGAAAAGCCAAATAGACAAAGACCTTACCTTACCTGCCCTGAGTAATAAAAAGACAATCCAAACGAGTGAGACACATTCAACCGTCATCCGTTATGTCACCTCCAAATTGGCTGGACAACATAAAAAAAAATGTCTACAATTAAGCAGATAAGAGAGGTGCAAACTGCAAACTGAAGCAAGTGACCAACTACAAGTAAAAAATACTGAAAGTGAAACCTATAGATGGGGAAGCTGGGCTGCGGTATCGATGGGAATCTGAATGAAGCGAAGTTCAGTGAACCCATGCCATGGATTGGCCTCTATATAGCAGCAGCATCTCTGGCCTGTGCACTTGCTATGGCTGTAGATTTCATCCGTGGCTTCCGCCGACGGAAGTTCTGGTTCCCGAGCAAATACTTCTCCATCAATGCCACTTCACTGACCATAATAGCTGTGGCAGTCAAGCT